GGTCTCCAGTGAAATGTCCTTGTTCTTGAGGCTCTTCTCTAGTTGCCTTATCACTGCCCTTCCAAGTCTCAGTCTCTTCAGATTTCTCGGCTGCACTCTCCTTTTGAATTGATGACTGACCCGAGGTATGTAAACTCTTTCACAATTTCAGTCCCTTCATTGTTAACACTAAAGTCCTGCAGTTCTTCTGTAATCTTGATTTTTGTTTTTTAAAAACCCACCTGCAGCCCTGCCTTTGCACTTTCACTTTCATCAGGAGTCATTTCAAGTCATTGCTGCTTTCTGCCAGTAATACGGTATCATCTTCGTATCTTACATTATTGATGTGTCTTCCACCTATTTTCACTCCTTCCTCTGATTCTAATCTCGCTTTCCTCATGATAGTTCCTGCATCTGTTTGAACAGATAGGGAGATAATATGCTCCTTTGTTTGATGCCTTTGGCTACAGGAAACTATTCTGTTTCTCCATATCCTGTCCTAAAATCAGCCTCTTTCTGAATAATCCATAGCTTCTCATGTACTGTTGGTGAACTGCAGTGGTTTTAAAATGAGAAGACAATCTGAGCACTAGTTGCTTGCCATGTGGTTTGCCACTTCTCCGTTCTGATGTGCAGCAGTCTTGCAGTATTCTTCCGTGTGTGCCTTCTGCTCCCTTTCCCTGTTCCAAACACTAAAATTTATTGATTGGGCCTTGTTCTATGTTCAGTAAATTATGAAATTTAGAGCGTCATTGAACAGGGGCCTCCTCAGTGGTGGGCTCTAAGCCGTAGAATTTCCCCTCCTAAATCAGACTGCTTTGCTCCTTATCCTTCCATTGCGCCTTTTCTGTCTGATTTGACCTGACAGTTCTGGTGCACTGTTATTTTATAAGTCTGCTCTTTTCCCTGACTTTTGCAAGGAAGCCTACTTTTCCTTTGTTTTTGTCTTGAATAGTTCTTAATATTTCAAATGTTGCTAAGTGCTTTATGAAGTACCATGTTTGACAAGTGATGAATCCATGCTGTAGATTAATTTTAAAAACGCTTTGGTTTAAAGCAGTACATCTTTGAGAGAGGAGCAGTTTTGTATGTAACAGATGGAGAGCCAGTGTGGTGTAGTGGTGAAGAGCCTGGGACTGGGACTCAGAGGATCTGGGTTCGAGTCCCCCCTCAGCCATGGAGCCAGCTGGGTGACTTTGGGCCAGTCAGACTCTCAGTCCAACCTACCTCACAGGGTTGTTGTTGTGGGGATAAGATGGAGGAGGAGAATGATGTAAGCTGCCTTGAGCCCTTGCTAGGAAAAAGGCAGGATATAAAATAGATAAATAAATAAATAAATAAATTAGTGACTGATCTACAGATACCAAGAGCTGTTGTGTTTCAGGAGGTCTCCAGAGGAGTTTGATCCAGGAATCATGGCCTTGCAGTGTAGGGTGCTGGAAGAGGTATCTCTTGGTATTCAAAGAGGTACCTCTTGGTATCAGTTTCTTTGCTACACATAAAGGCCAGAGTGGGATCATGGCAAGGATGAATTTTCCACATGAAAACGGCTTAGAGTGCCTTATTCCACATTTTACTGGTGTCCTAGTTCTGCCCACGTCCAGGCAGGGATAGCCTGGTTTCAGTAATCTACATTCTGTTAATCTCTAAATTAAATTATTTGGATGTGGGGCTGCCCTTGAAGACAGTTCAGAAGCTGCAGCTCATGCAACAGATTACTAATTGGGATCCGTAGGTCCCAATTATTATTAACACAAGGACAGTATTGTTTTACTTGCTTTGGCTGCCTCTCTGTTTCCAGCCTCAATTCAAGGTGCTCGTTTTAGCCTATCAAGCCTTACATAGCTTGGGATCACAAGACCTGCTGGAGCATCTCTCCCAACCACAATCTCTCCAGTTGCTATTCTCAACATCCCGAGCATCTGCTAGGGGGCTACTTTGGGGGAGCCTCGGTGGGTGGCAACAAAGGAAGGGGCTCTGTCAGTGGTGGCCCCCCCTCTTTGGAATAACTTCCCCATCATAGCCCACCTGGTGCTGACCTGTTGGGGGTTTTTTGGTGCCGGGGTAGGACAACTCTTTATGTCAAGTCTTTTAAAGATACACTTGGTTATCCAGCGCTTGGGGGAATTACTCGTGTTTTTAATGTTTTAACAATACTTCTGATAAGATTTTGCGGTATTCTTAATTATATTTTATGGCATTTATATGCTGCTCTAAATCACCCAGAGAGCGACAGCTGTGGAGCAATATAGGAATGAAATAAATGGAACAACAACTAGCGTTCTCTTCATTCCACACATACCCCAATACAGTGTGGGAAGTACGTCCTGCTCACCACGTTTGAAAGACAAAAGTTTTGTTCCCCCAGGAAACGCTTTCGAAGCACTCTCTCTTGCTCTTGCCTGCGCAGGCAAAAATAATTTTATCCATTTCAGTTCATCTGCTTGCTTTCCCACTCATTTGTTTCCACACTCCAAACAAACAAACAAAAAGCTATCCTCAAATTAGGGGGCATGTTTTCTCACTTTCATCCTCTGAATAGATCGTGGATTTTTAAACATTGCGCTTACATCCCACTGTTTTTCTTGTGCAGAGAACCCTGCAAGTAGATTCAGCTAAGAAACAGTGACCGGCCCTAAGATACCCAGTGAGTTTCAAGACTGAATGGGGACTAGAACTTGCATTTTCCGGGTCCTGCTTCAGCACTAACTGCACTCGAGCTCCTTCGTGGTTGGATCAGGAAACGTGGGCTGGGAAGACCTCTCCCTTTCCGCCAAACGGTGCTCTCAGAACACAGTGACCAAGTGTGTTGGAGCTTGGTGTTGGTCGGTGACTTCACAGCACACAACCGCGGGAGCCGAGCAGGCGGATGATGACATCTGCTTCCCGGTCTTTGCCACCTGATGCCTTTAAATAAACTTAATGAGCTTATTGCTAGAGAGCCACTGCGCCGAATGCTCAGGGGCCGAGGCAGCCGGCCTCCTCCTGGAATCCCCGGCATCCCTTCCCCTTCCTTGCTGTGCCTCCCTTCTCTCCTCCCCGCCAGCCCTTGGCTCGGTGGGTGTCGCAAGGCTGTGTTTGCTCCTGCCGGGGGGCCAGTTCGTTCTGCTCGAGGCTGGAAAGGACCCGGGTAAGAGTCAGGCAGTGCAACCTTTGTGCCCCAGCCCTTAAGGGGTGGCCTGTACAGGGCGGGAAAGCAGGAGGAAAGCCCAAGGCAAAACACGGCATGCCATCACAGAGTGGCGGCCTCTTGTTTTTCAGATAAGTAGCCTCAAACTAAGGCAACTTTTACGGGAGCTGGGCAGCACTGCCGAGCCCCTTCCAGGCTAGCCTGCCTTGTCGTTGCCTTCTCTGGTCAGAGTTTGTTGGGTGGGACACGGCTGGAATTCCTGACATCCTTTAAGATCTTTTGAAAGCACAAACACATCCACAAACGCAACAAATAGGCAATTTCCAGCCCAAACAGGAAGGACAAGTTGGTATGAGGAGGCGGGGAAGGGGTAAGAGAGAGAAGCCGCAAGGGAAGCTCCTCGGTGAAGCGTCTTCGTTTCTGCTGCCAATATTTTCATCCAACTTGGCCCGCAGTTCTCTCTACAGCGGTCCCTTGGCTCATGAACTTCATCCGTTCCACGACTCTGGTTGTGAGCCGGATTGGTTGTGACCGAGTCAAATTTCCCCATAAGGTTCAATGTAAATAAGGCCAATCTGTTCTGTAACTATTTTTAATCAGAAAAATTTGGAACAAAGAGACAAAGAACAATGAAGTGACAGAGCTCTGTACCGTACAGTGGAGAACACTATCCTGGGTGGGGGGAGGTCATTGTCTGGAGGGAGAGCCCCCCTCCGTAAGGACACTGGGGAGATCTTTCAGGGGTTTCCTCTCACCTTTGTCTCTTAGCTGCAGGGTCAGTTTGGGGGAAAATCTGCCTATAGGCACTTGTTTTTTCCTGCGTTGCATAACGCTCCGGAAATGAGAGACCACGCTATCGTTCATCAAATTCAAGACCCTGTTCGTTACAGTTATGTTGGGCTGGTGCTTCTCAAAGACATCCTGGCACTCCTTCCGTTTTTCCATAATGGATTGTGTCACATCACTGCTAACTTCCTCCTTGCCTTCCTCTTCCTCAGTGGGATCCTACGCCGCAGGTGTTTCTGCTGCTCGCCCTGGAGTTCTGCACGTTCTTTGGTCGTTAGCTCCTCTGTGTCTTCCCTGCACGAATGCAACAGCGATCGTGGCCGTCTTCCCATTCGGGGGTGGGTAGGTGGGTGGGAAGAAGGCCCTGATCTTGGTTGCCACCCAATGTGGAGCTCGCGACCCAAGTCAAAATTTTCATGAAATTTTTGTTTGCGACCCGATTTGGTTGTGAACCGGGGCGTTTGTGAGCCGAGGCGCCACTGTACTTCTTTTCAGAACTTCGAAGGGCCGGTGTTGCTTCTTCCTTGGCTGCCAGTCGGGCTGAGTAACTCTGAATAGCTGCAGGGCATCAGTGTCTGGCCCGGGAGAGGCGCCCACATCTGGGGGCCTCGTTCCAGGCCAAGTGTTTGTACTCGGTTTGCTACTGATGTTTGGACTTAAAATGTAGCGCAAGCATGTTCGGTTCACCCTCCCACCTCCAAGGATGAGGAGGTTATGCCAGCCTTCCCCATCCTGATGCCCCCCCACCATGTTGTGGACTTCAAGCCCCATCAGCCCTAGCTCGGCCAGTGGTTGGGATTGCTGGGCCTCTGGAGGGCACCAGCTTGGGAAAGGCTGTTATGTCGAGACACACCAGGTCTCCTTGAGCTTCATATTCAGGCCCGGGAGTGCCTTTCCGGGCTATCCTTTGCGATTCGGTGTCCGCTCCCCCGTGGATGCCTCTCTCAGAGCAGTGGGGCGTTTCTCTAAATAAATTTGCATAGGATCCTTCTGTGAGCATGAAGGTCCGCAGTCCTCCAGGAAAGCCAGACCTGGTGGCTGCCTGCCTGTTTCTCTCCTGTGCTCCTCAGCCACTGACTTTTCCCTGCCCCCCTCTTTATTCCAGAACTTTACCCTGCCTTTAGTGCCTTTCCTGAAGTGCCGCTCATGAGATACACCACAGATGCATTTCGGGATGGCAGGTAGCTGACGGGCAGCTGAGGATGACATTGACTGACAGACTGCGTGAGAAGATATCACGGGCATTCTACAACCACGGGCTACTGTGTGCGTCCTACCCCATTCCCATCATCCTCTTCACCGGCGTCTGTGTTCTGGCCTGTTGGTAAGGGCTCCTGTCCAGAATATCTATTGAAATGCTCCTTGACCTCTTGGACATTTTGTGGTGTGTGTATGGGTGGGGGTTAGAATGGGAAGGTAGTGGGTGCAGAACCGATGTCCAGCCTGGGGGGGGTGCGGCTAGAGCAAGCCCTCCAGGCATCCCAGGCAGTCACACCCCTTCTTTCCCAACCCTCTGTTGTTCAACGATTTCCTGGCTTTTGTATGCCTCTCCCCCCTGCCCGGTTCTGCAAGGTTATGATGCCTCTCCTTAGTCTTAGTTGCTGGTAGCCAAGGATTTGTGCTAAAAGGTGCACAAAAGGTGTTCCAGGGGGAAGGCTCCACTCGTTTTGCCTTAACCCCGTCCTCTCCAAAACTTCTCTGAACGGCATCCTGTTCTTCAGCGGGAGAAGGTTGTGCAATTTGGCTTAAAATACTGGCTTGCCTCAGCCCAAAGTGTCAGGGCAACTGGCCGTAAGCCAGGAGATTCTCTGTCTTGTGAGTTAAGCAAGGTTGGAAGGAAGTCTTTCTCCTGCCTCCAAGGTGCCCTGAGAGGGAGTGAATGCTGGCGCACTCGTTGGCTTATTGCATCGCCTCCTTGCTTGCAAAAGTCTCCTGCCTTCTGCCCCTCTTCAGCCTGGTGTGGCAGGATCCTCCTTTGTCGCTGGTGCAGATGTAGCCGCCATCAGGGACTGGTCTGGTGTGCACCGTAAGGCTTTACCAGCCGCTCGAGACGGGGGGTCCTGAAGAGCGTGGGGAGGAATCGGCGATCTTTGTGGCTGTTTAAATTACTCTTTAGTTCGGAGGCATCCAGGGGTGGGGTGACCCTTGCACGAAGGTCGCCTTATCCAAGGGCAAGTCAGTGTGTAGCCCCTCACTACAGATGTGCCTTATATTCAGCTTTTAGGCTGAGGGAGAGTTGTATGGGATCCTACGGGTCCTGGATAAACAAGAGGCACCCGATTGTCATATGTGCCTTATGGTGTCCCGAAAAGCCAGAGTCCCACAGGTCATCCAAAAAGCAAGCAGTCACCAGAAGTGAGGCAGTGGGGACATCGCAGCCCGGAGGGTGGGGAAGCAGAAGTGCTGAGGGAGGTCCTTGGAGCTCCTGGCGCTGACGCCTAGGAGGCCTTGGGCAGCTCTTTGGTCTTTTCTTCCTTAATGGGTTTTCTGTGGAAAGAAATGGGAATGACCAGGCCGTGGGAAAGCGCAGCAGGGCTCTGAGCAGGAGCAGCAGCATTCGGAACGCCCCCCGGCCCCCGAAATCCTGTCAGTGGGGCAGGGCGATAGCAGGATTGAGGATGCATGTAAGCCATGCATCTGTAATAATATCTTTTGGATAGAAATAAACTTACAGAAACCTTGGAAGAGCATAGCATTGTGAATGGAATGCATTTACCAAAAAATTTAAACATTGCCTGAATATACAGCTTCATGCTACATAATTAAACATTAATCCTAATTTCATGATGAGTAACTTTTGGACTATAAAGTATCTTAAATAGAAAACTATCTTTAGATAGGTTTTCCTCAAAAAGCACCTCATTTTATTTTATTTTTATTTTCATCCGCCCTGGCTATGCAACTTCTGCTATGACTCTTTTGCGTGAGGTGGTGCCGGTGGTTAACAAGCAGGATTGTGACCTTGCCCAGGGGCTTGGCAGCCAGAGAGAACACCATGTTCCCTTTTTCAACGAAAAAAGGAGAAGCGGCATGGCGATGGGGTGGGAAGCTAAGAGCGTCAGCCGGCATTCGTCTGATTTTAAGGGGAAAGTCCCTTCTGCAGGTGGATTTGTCTCCCTTGTAACTGCAGCTGTGGCTGAACTGTTTCCTTGAGAGGGAAGATGGGTTGGGCGGTGGGAGGAGGGAGCCCTGGAACTCCTGTGGGCGTCGGGAGCCGCATTCCCACACGTTGCGGGGGCACCAGGTTGAAGACGGCAACTCTGCTCCACTCGGCTCCTGGAAAGGCCTGAGAATCGTTCGCTCATTCAGGGCTAGGCAGGGATCGGGCTCTGAGGCTTGGTGCTCCAGAGGTGACTGCAGGCAAAACACCAGGCAGACGTCCTCAAAGGGCAGCCGGGGCACACACTCTCTTCAAGCAGAGATGCTTCTTGGAGGCCTCAGCCTGGGCCCCTTTTTAAATGCTACGCTCCTTTGAAGTGTCTTCAAGAGGATCGCGCCTCTTTTCCTGCATCTCTGTGGGTGCTGTTGGTGGGGGGAAGCGCTGAGGCCCTCTGGCCACTTACGGTCTCAGGAGTCGGGCTTGCCTTGAGAAGACAAGATGGTCGTCGGAGAGGGATGGTGTGATCTGGCCTCCTGCACCAGCAGCAGGCCGAACGGGTTGGCCCCTTCGGACCCTACCATTGTATGAATCTATGAGAAGAATGTTCTGTTTTGTAACTTGCAGCTATCCGTTGCTGAAGCTCCCGCTGCCCGGCACTGGCCCCGTGGAATACGCCACCCCCGCAAAGGACCACCCTCAGCCTCCCGCCCCCCAGCAAGGAGAGCCCAGTGAGAGGCCTGACTGGGTACGACTCTGACCCACGGCACAAGCGCTGCGCCCCCAGAAGCCGCCTGGAGATCGCGTTGCTCTTTTCCGCCGCAGCCTTTTCGTCCGCTTGTTGGCTCTCCTTGTCCTTAACATGTGTACACCTCGTGCACAGTGTAACTCTTGCCTCCTCCTCCTCCTCCTCCTCCTGGTCTTGGGGCTTTCTCCTATAGACTGTGTGACGAGTGGCGCAGCGGCCCCTGTTCTCATTGATAAGCCTTTCCTGGAGCATGCCTGCCTGCCGCCTCTCTTCCTGTGCTCCCCGCCCCGCCTTGCCTCAGCCCCCCCTGCCCTCTCTAACCTTTTTTCCCTTTTCAAAGTGCTGGCGGTGGGGAGTTCGGGGGCCCTGCTTGGTCCGCTGCCTCTGCAGTGCAGCCCTCGGGGGGGTCTGAGCTAGGCTGCTGTGGAGCAGGATTCGTGAGGAGCACGTGCCTGGCTTGCCCGATGGCTGTGGCACCAAGGCTGCTGGGAGGCCGAGGGCACAGCCATTTTGGGCAGCTGTGGTGTCTACTGCCCTGGAGGCTCCTGGGCGATCCGCTGAGAGCCCTCACCATTGCCCTGTCCTGTTTAAGTGTGATTTTGTACGTGCAGATACACGCACTCTGCTGCCGAGCTGCAGTCGCTCTGTCCTGCGAAGGACCAACTGCCTGCAGAGGCGAGTGTATCACCCGTTAAGTTTTTGGCACATTGCCTGTGGAAGGGAGCTGGATCCCACGTCTTCCGGCTCTCCACCGACTCCAGCCTCCTGAGGCTGATACGTGTGCCTGTCCTTTGCTGTTTCTCCTCCCAGTACACTGGTGCCCCCGTGGCCTACATCCAGCAAGTCCTGGTGAAAGCCACCGTCTCTCCGTGGCCCAAGACATTCCTGGCTGTCGACGTGTTTCGGTCCCCCCTCTCCCGCGTCTTCCAGCTAGTGGAGGAAATCAGAAACCACGCCTTGCGAGACGGGTAGGTGGCCCTTGACAAAAGCGGGATACGGGCCCGACCACTCTTTGCGTTTCTGGCCTGGCGTGGTCGGCCTGGTTAAGCTGAGCGATGCTGTGCCCCCGAACGGCCTCCGCAAAGGCGACTGCTCAGGATTTTGCCTTGAGAGAGGCATGCTCTGCATACGCTTCCTGGATGGCAGGAATGCTGCTTGGCCTGATCCGGCTGCCTTGGAGGCCCAGGCACCCTTTCCGGCCCGCCAGCCCCTACTGCCCTTGCCATAACGGGCTGCCCCCCTCGGTCTCCTCTCAGTTCCAGTGTCAAGAGCTTGGAAGAAACTTGCCTTCAGGTGACAGACCTGCTGCCCAACTTAAAGAAGCTTCGGGGCCTGCTTCCCGAGCATGGCTGCCTGCTCCTGTCACCAGGGAACTTTTGGCAGAACGACCCGGAGCGCTTCAGTGCCGATCCCGACATCATTAAAACCATCCACCAGCACGAGCCAAAGACTTTGCAGACATCGGCTACCCCCAAAGGTAGGAGGCCTTGCCATGGCGGAAGGTGGACTGTGGAACGTGTCCTGGAATGCCCAGTGGCCGGAGAGCAGATTGGCGGAGTTGGATCGCCTCTGCGTGCCTTCCGGATTGGTCTCCAGCGCGAGCCGATGCAGTGGCCGTCACTGTCCCTGGGCAGGGGAAGGAGGGTGCCCGACTGGTGGGGAGTGGCCTGTTTGCAGCACCAGGCGCCTGGAAGAGGCGTGCCACGTGGGCACAAGCCAGCAAGCTGCGGTCTGTGGCACTCAGTCCCTCCTGTAGCCCAGGATGGCAAGACACTGGCAAAGGCAGCGGGTACGAAGGTGCATCGTTCAGCACATGGATGTGGAGGAAATGGATCACTCTGGTCTCTCCAGATGGACAGTTGGCGGCCAGCCGGCCAGCGTCTGGGAATCCTTCTGCAGAGATCGCATGATGAGCCCCTGGGATTTCCTGCCACTGGACGCAGTGCTGGCCACAGGTTTCAGTAACCTGAAAAAGGAATAGCCACTGGTCGAGCTTGTGGCCAAAGGCACAAAAGCAAGAGTAGGAGAGAGGGAAAACCAAGCTCCCCTGGGCTTGGAACTGGGACCTCTAGGCTAGGCTGACCCTAACTGGGGGCCAAATCCAGCATCCCGGTTTGGTCCTCTGCTCCCACCTCTTCCCGTCTTCCACCCGTGGTTTGGAGGGTTCCCAGGCTTTGCACAGTCTCTGCTACTCCCCCCACATCTCTGATGGGAACTTAAAATCCATGTCAGTTCACCTCTCAGTCATTTTGAAGTCAGTTTTTACACTTGAAATACCTGCAAAATGTACATGCAAACGCTCAAAAGGCCTCTCCTAGTAGGGTGTCCTGGCCGTCAGCAAGAGCTTTAAACTACCATGTACTGGCATCCCTTTTGTCCTCGGCCTTCCCCACCACCGGTATCTGGAGCCTGAGAGCTTCTTGGAAATAGCATTTGGCCCCCAGCCTGAGGGAGGGGGTCCTTCCGTGCTATGCAGGTAAATAAAAGGATTGCCACGTAAACCTTGGCTGTGGCTTGCGTGTTGTGTTCTTGGATGCGGGAGATGCTTGGCTAGACGCCTGTTCTCCCTGCAGTTAGTAAAAAACCTTTCCGACCGGCCGCCGTCTTTCAGTCACTTTCCGAAGGAGTAAATAGACCGGAAGTGAGCCGAGGGCTCTCTTCGGCGTTCAGTGTCGACGCGTGCAGCCCCTCCGCTTCCTGCGCAGGTGTGTCAGGTTGGGGAAATGCCGTCCTCAGTGGGGCGGTGGCATTTTTGTGTGCGGCAGCCCTTGTTGAAGCTCAGCGAATCGCATTTCCTTCGCCACCCCGTCTCGTTCAACCTGACATCGTGCTCCTTCTGTTTCCCTCAGATCTGCTGTTTGGAGTCCCAGGGAAGTACAGCGGGGTAAACCTGTACAACCGGAAGCGAGTGGTGACCTACAGCATCACCTTAGCTCTCCAGCGCTATGACTCCAGGTAAGGCCTGGTGCACCGCCGCCCCTTTGGGAGCCCCTGTTCTTTGCCGTTCCTGCGATCCAGTGCCTCTCTCGTTTTGCCCTCACCCCATGCTCTGTCCGCCAGACAAGCTTTCAGAGGTTTTTCTGAGGGGAAACTGGTTCAGTTCAGTTTCACTTCTTAGCGGTTAGAAACCTGCCATGCTGAGGTCTGTTTCTACCTTTGGAATCCCAGCAAGATCTTCTCCGACTTGGTGTATCTTGGTCGTGTATTTGAAAATTCAGATACCTGAGAACCACTGAATCAGAGCAGCGAGTCTTGCGTGACACAAGTTGTAAAATTAGCACCTGCCTTCCTCCAGGTGATGGTACGCCCCATAATGGGCGGAGGAGCACCGTGTCTCCTTTTATTTTCAGCAAGGTAGACAGCGAGCACGTCCCGTGGCTCCACCCGCGTCCTCGTGCGCATTCCAGAGGACTCTGCCGCCTGCTGGGGTGTGTCCTTTAATTTTGTGACGTGTGGTGTCCCATGGTAACTGGGCAGTTGCAGAACCCCCAGATCTCGCGCTTGTGCCCGTGTCTCTCTCCTCACTGTGGAGGAAGCTTATGATCCTCTCTCAGTCCTCCCGAGGAGCGCTCAGCAGCCGAGGACGGTGGTGGGTGGGGGGTCCTGGGGCATCGCCGGGCCGCCTCTGAGACCGTCCGAAGATCCTCTGGAAGGACCGGGGAGAGTGGGGGCAGGAGGCGGGGGCTGGCGCCTCACCTCCGTGCTCCCCGGCAGGTTCCTTCTCAGCCTGCGCTCCCGCCTCAGGCAGCTGTACCCCAGCCCCAACTGCACCCTGCGTGAGGAGCTCATCACCCACGTCCACTTCAAGGAGGAGATCGGCGTGGCCGAGCTCATCCCGCTCGTTACCACCTACATCATCCTCTTTGCTTACATCTACTTCTCCACACGTGAGTGCGAGGGAGGGGCCGGCTCTGGAGGGCCCCTTGCTCTGCGGGCCTAGGCAGGCCGGAAGAGGGCCCTCTGGAAGGCAGGGCAGTGGCCGGATCAGGGGCGCAGCCCCCCCCCCCCCCGTAGGAGGGCCGCACGCGAGGCCTGCTGCGTGTGCCTTGTCCTCCGCGTGCCCCACCCTGCCTTCTGGGAAGGCCTTGTTCTGTCCCGGGGGGTGCCTCCCCGGATCAGGGGCACAGGGCCTCCCCCCGTAGGAGGGCCGAGCTCCATTCTGGAGCAGCTCTCATGGGCTGCATTCTGGTGGAGTGGCCAGGGGGCAGGGGGCTGGGGTGTGTGCCGGAAGCAGAGGCCCAGGCGAGGGTGACTTCCTGCCATGGAGAGGGGTTTCGGCTCCTGAGAAGGGGGGAGCCCGCCCAGCAGTGGAAGGTCACCCAGTGGCCGGGGGTGGGGCGAGAGGAAGTGGCATGGCCTCCTGGGGAGCCAGACGGGAACCTTGGGGAGCTGGAGCTGCTTCCTGGGTCGACCTTTCCCAGCGGGGGCCCTTCCGCGGCTCCCATGCAGTCCAGCCAGCTTGGCCCGCAGAGGGTTGCGGCTGAGGGTTGAAGGCTTGTGGGCACGGGTGCTGCAATAGACAGGCTGCCGCGGCTGGTGCCTGGTGCCACCCCCGCCCCCCGGCCGGGGAGCATGCGCAAGAACCTCCTTTGCGTGCCTTCGGAGCGATGGCTTCGCTGCACCCGGTGACTGTGGAGGCCTTGCTCTCTCTCCTTCAGGAAAGATCGACATGGTGAAATCGAAATGGGGCCTGGCTCTGGCCGCAGTCATGACCGTCCTCAGCTCTCTGCTCATGTCGGTCGGCCTGTGCACGCTCTTCGGCCTAACGCCCACGCTGAATGGAGGGTGAGTGTGAAGGGGGCCTGGCTGGTGTGGTGGTGCAGAGCGTGGGGCTGGGGCTCGCCATGGGGCCAGCTGGGTGACTTGGGGCCAGCTGCAGACCAGCCCTGCCTCGATTGTTGTTGTGGGGCTAAGATGGAGAGCAAGAGGAGGAGGATGACACCAGACACTTTGACTTAGAAGCAGAGCGTGGCAGAGGGGCCTCCTGGGCCGTCTCCTCTGGCTCCTGGCTCCAGCCGGCTCTGCTCACGACATGCCCGCCATGTGCAGCACCACGACGCCATCTCTCCTCACGACCTCCTCCTCGTCTTGGCGCCCCACAGCCTGTCCCGATGCCCTGGCTGGCCCCGGCTGGCAGAACTCAGCCCGTTTGACCCGTGGTGCGCTGACTGGGGGCCTGGCAGCCCCGTTTGCTCTGCACTTTGCTTCTGAGGGAACCGTGATGCTGGCGTCCCAGGCGGACCTGGATGGCGGTTTCGTTCATGGGAACGGCCCCGCTGGATCAGGCCCAGGGGCGGTCCAGCGCGGCACTCCACGTGCACGGTGGCAGGCCAGCTGCCCCGGGTCCCTCCGGCAGGATGGGGCGAGGCCTCCTCCTGCATGGCGCATGCAGGCCGGCCCCTTCTGGCCCAGGACGTGGCATGTGGCCAGCAAGGCTAGTGGTCGCGGGTAACCGCCTCCTCCGTGAATTTGCCCAGGCCCCTTTGAAGCCCGTCCAGAACGGTGGCTTCCAGGGGCAGCAAGTTCCATAGTTTAACGATAGGTTGTATGAAGAAATCCTTCTTTAACTGTATTGTCCAGTTTCCTGAAAATATTTATTTTGTCCTAAAACCCCAGCCTTGGCCTAGAAGCCCCTTTTTTATTATTGGGGTTTGGGAACCATCTTCTGAGAACTCAGATGGCTTTGGTCGCTCGGGCCAGTCAGTTGCTTTCCCCAGGTCTTTGGCTTGCCAGGCTGTTTGTTTGTTTGTTTGTTTGTTTATTTATTTATATTTATTTATCTATCTATCTATCAATTAATTAATTAATTAATTAAAACATTTCTATGCCACCCCTTGCCGGAGCCTCGGGGCGGCTTACAACATCAAATAAAATACACAATAAATTAAAACAATAACAATTAAAATATATACAGTAGAATAAAATAAGCCGCCCTGGCCAAATAAAATTCAATAATATTAACATTTAAATTGCTGCTTAAATAAAAAGGTCTTCGCCTGGCGCCGAAAAACAAATAACGACGGCGCCAGGCGGACCTCTCTGGGGAGCGCATTCCATAGATTGGGCGCCACCGCTGAGAAAGCCCTCCTCCGGGTACCCACCCTCCTAATTTCCTTCACTGAGGGCTCCCGGAGGAGGGCCTCTCCCGCTGATCTCAAGGGGCGGCTGGGCATATATGGAGTGCCGTTCAGACCCTCCCTCCCTCCTTCGCCTCTAGAGAGATCTTCCCTTACCTCGTGGTCGTGATCGGCCTGGAGAACGTGCTGGTCCTCACCAAATCCGTTGTGTCCACGCCAGTGGACTTGGAGGTGAAGCTGAGGATCGCACAAGGTAGGTCCCACGTGGAGGCCGGCATGGGGGGCGTGGCGTCCGGCCCGCAGGGGCTTGTGGGCACAGAAGCCGGCCCAGCTGACCCACGCGAATGGGAATGTCGCCAGCCCTTCCTCAGGTCGGACCCGAGACTTCATGCAGAGCCAGCGCATCTCCTTCCTGGCGCCCTGGCTGCTGTGCCTGTGCTTGCTTTGGGGCTGAAGACTGCGTCCAAAGGAGCTGTCTGGTGCGCTGGGGCTCAGACCCCACCGTGGCCTTGGGCTCGGCCTTTTGGGCAGGCGACTTGGTCCCTTGTGGCCGGCCACGCCTCCCAGGGCAGCCGTTTGGTGCGGCATGCAGGACAGCCTCTCAGATAGACCCAGAAAGGGTGCTCACCCCTGTGCTGGGCAGCTTGAGTTTGAGGTAACTCAAGAGAAAGATTTGATAGGAGGAAGAAAATACCCCCCACGTACACACAGTTTTCTGTATCATGCTGATCTGGTCTCTGGGGACAGATGCAGGTGCGTCTGGCCAGGTGTGAGCAAGCGTTCCTTGGAAAGCCAGCCTTTGAGGAGAGAGGCGTGAGAAATGGTCCTGCGCTGTGGAAATGCAGTCTTGCCCTTCCGCACTTTGGATTAAGCATGCAGAAGGAATGTGTGGGGAGCTCTGAGCAAGCACCAGGCGTGCGACTCTTCCTCCTGCCTTTTTCAGAGCGCACGTGGCCCCGTGGCAGCCGCCCGACTCCAGGGGCCTCCCCAGTAGCCAGGCCAGCTGCAGGGAGGAAAAGCCAGCTTCTCAGCGTCCTGGCAGGCAAGAGGCAGAGCCTGCCGGCACCTGTTTCTGCAGAGAGCCGTTTGGACTCGCTGGACTTGCCTGGCCATTAGGGCTCGCTCTGGTGGGTCGGGTAGGGGTCTGTTAATTCTGCAAGAAGATGAAACACACCCTCCATTTTTAAAAGGTGTTTTGCGCAGGTGATGCAGGTGCAGTGGTGAGGAGCGGGGAAGAACTCGCCCAGTCCTTGAACCTTACCCCCCCGCATGTCCCTTCCCCCACCAGGCCTGAGCAATGAAAGTTCCTCCATCATGAAGAACATGGTAGCTGAGCTGATCATTATCCTGTTCGGGTACTTCACCTTCGTTCCAGCCATCCAGGTACCTGCGGGGCCTGCAGGTTTTGGTGGGCAGAGACCCGGCTCGGTTCTGCTCTGCGGGGAACGCGCGTGCTTACAGCCTGCAACCCTTGCGGAGCTTTGAACTTCTGCACTCGCCCGGGCCTCCATCCTGCGGGGTCCCCTGCACGACCCTCTCCTGCAGCCCACAAATGCCGGCGCTTGCGGCCGGGTCGGGGTGCCAGTGGCACAGCCCTTGCCATGCTTTGCTGGGCGTGTTCTGGCCGGCGACAATTGTATTTGTCGCCCCGAGGTGGGGGGGCTCTTTGGAAGCCACCCAGGGGCTGCAGCAGGTGTTCAGCAAGGCTGGAGAGAAATCCCTCCCGGCGCCTGTGGGTCATGGGGAACGGTTCTCTGGGAGGCCTGCAGCTGCCGAAAGGGGCCCCACGGTGACCCACTGCTGGTTGGGGCTGCCTCTAGTAGCCCTTTCCGGAGGCCCACCGAGGCTGGAGCATTTTGGCAGCAGGCCCTGGAGACGGTGCCGTGGTGTTTTCCTGCCCTCGTGGGTCTGTCATGCAGTTTGGCGCTTCCGTGGGGGCCTTGCATTCCCAGAGAGCACAGAGAGGATCAGTTCTGGGGTCCCGGCACTTCAGCGTTGCTCCCCTGCTCATGTGACCTGGGATCTCCGTTCACCACGGCTGGTATGGAAGCAGCCCCACATCCCGCGGAAGGAATGACCACGGCTGGGCCCACTCAGCCTCCTGGTCGCTGCTGCCCGCAGCTCCTAGCAATTCATGTGCCTTTCTCCTCTAACTTTCATAGACGGAGAAAGCAGCGCAATGCACGGGGTGGGGGGGGAGTGCAGCAACAGTGTATGCTGTGATTTAACAAAAACTCCTTTGGGGTCTGGAGTGCCTAGAAAGCACTGCGGAGAGGCAGGCGATTCTGGAGCAGGGAGAGGGAGAACCTGCCTCTAAGCACCAGCTGACCCGTCAGAGGAGGCGGCTGAGGTCCCTGGGGAGCAGAGAGCGGAGAGGAGGAGATTTTGCGCACGAGCTTCTGGGATGCATGGCGAGAGTGGGAGAGCAGAGTGGAGACGGACAACCACGTGGCCCAGGAGCCCACCCAGTTGTCTGATGAATAAGCTCGGTCAGGAATCCGTCTGCTGTGCAGATTGCGTGGGGCTGCTTGCCGTGTGGACCCAGCCAGTGGCTCCCAGGGCCCTGTTTGCGGCCTCTTCCTCTCAGCTCAAGTGCTGAAGCTTTAAATGCTGGGTTCACATGCTGGCACCCCGGCGTGATCTTGAAGTAACGTGGGGCCGTCAGGAGCGCTCTGTGGACAGTTCTGACGGCTGAATTCAAGGGCGCTTTTTCTGCCTGATTCCTCCGTGTCCTGCCTTTCCGTCGGCGTCAGAGCCAGCCTTGCCCATGAGTCCGTTATCTGCGTTGCCGAGCCTGGAGGACACTGGGCAGATAATGGAGATAATGGCTGGCATTGTCACAGAGTCCAAGGTGTCCGGGCGATAAGGAGCTGAGCTGCTCCGGCCTGCCCCTGACCTTTGCATCCAGTGGGCTGGGCTGGGGACGGCCTGGGGACTTCCCAGCCTGCCCTGTAATGCCAGGAGGCAGCCCGAGCCGCCTCCAGCTCAGCAGTTTTGCTTGGCCAGCTGCTGGGCATGTCTCCTGGCGCTGGCACTCGTGCCCGCGATGAGCAGGTGCCCTAGAGGCGGCTGACTGCTGCTGAGAAGGTGGAGGAGCAGCCGGGCGCCTTCCCTCCGGGTTGGCTAAGGCAGGCTGAACGCTGCGCCTTGCGCGGACGCCGGCGGGTGCGCTTCGTTCATGCAGGTTGTGGAGCAGCTCGGGGGGGGGGGGGGAGCTGCGCCCCAGTCCCTGCACGCCCCTGCTTGGCCCTGCGGGGGCGCTGGCTCTCTGCGCCCTTGGTGGAAAGCACGGTACAGCTGAGCATCAGCGGTTATGTCCGAACAGGATAACATGTGGGGGTAACGTGGGGCCCGGACCTGCTTCTGGGATGCCTGCTTCAGTGAGAGCAGAGAGGGGGCCTGCCCGAGGGGTCGCAAGCCGTTGTAAGGCGTGCCGGCGCATACGAGCGGGTATGCCCAGGCCGTCCTCGGCAGAGCCGGGGCCAAAGTGTTGTCGTCATGCGTCCACTAGGCAGGAACGAGCCGCTCGGAAGCACCAGCTTGGCTGAGTTAACTTCGGATGCGGGGAAGGAGGCGAGGGCACGGCTGGGATTTGCCGAGAAACCTCTGAGCAGCCCGGCAGCCCTGAAGGGCTTCCCTGTGCGTTTTTCTCAGGCTTTCTTGGGGCGGCATGTCTCTGTACCCCTCTCACCAAAGCAGGGAGGCCTTTGCGACATTGCTGGCCCGAGCCGTTTTCCCCGGTGGCCGATGATCACAGGACGGCTGATAGCCGGCCAGTGGCCCTTGTGCCTCTTCCCCCTCTCGGTTTTCCTGGAATGTGCTGCGGGCTGTTCCCACCTTACTCTTAGGTCTGACCTGCTCGTCTTTGAGGGCCTTGCTGCATCGCCTCTCTCCCCTGCTCAAAATCGAGCAGGCCCTCAAGCAGCCAGCTGGCTGTGCTGAGAGGCACGGAGGGAAACCGCCTCTCCCTGCTCTCTCTCGCATGGGGACCTGCAGGATCGAAAGCTGCCGCCCCTCTTCCTGGGGTGCAGAGCACTGAGCCCCTCACGGCAGGGCAGAGCTCCGTGAACGATCGGCGGGAAGCGAGCCACGCACATGCCGCGTCTGGTGCGGTCGCCCTGGGGTCTCACGCTCCCCTGCCCCTTTGGCCTCGTTCTTTGCAGGAGTTCTGCTTTTTCGCCGTGGTCGGACTGGTGTCTGACTTCTTCCTCCAGATGCTCTTCTTCACCACCGTCCTGTCCATCGACATTCGACGCATGGAGGTAGCCTGCTTGGCTTGGTTTTGTGTGTGCTTGTTTCAAAGCGTGCTGCGCAGCCTCACGGGCAAAGGCAGCCGATGCACGAGGACCCTGTGCCGAGCAGCAGAAATGAATGCAAAGGCCCCCCGGAACGGCTGTGGGCGACGGGGCAGCCGTGCCGGCAAAGCCCGCATGCCTGTGGCTGGGCAGCCGTCGCCAGGGCGAGTCTGCGCATTTGCTGCCACGCGCTTCTGCGGTGGACCAGTGGCCTCCCCGCCTTCTGCTCCAAGGAGCAGGGACTACAAGTCAGGCCTTTTGAACCCTGGCGCCCCGGTCCTTCAGGTGGGGGCGAGTCAGTCCAGAGCACCTGGCCGGAGCCGCTTGCTGAGCACAGATTGGTGCAGGGGGGTTGCCTTCTGTGCCCCCCCTCTGTGGGGCGCTGGCACCCAGAGTCTTTGGGCCACCCCAGGCCCGGTGCACTTGCTCGGAGGCGCGATGTGCGGCTGTGCGGTGGGGTTGGCCCCGTGGGCACCCCTTCCGCTTCTGACCCCTCCTGCTCTCCTCCTCTCGGCAGCTCGCTGACCTGAACAAGCGGCTGCCGGCCGAGGCCTGCGTGGCCCCCGCCCAGCCGGGGGGCCGCTCCCAGCGGTACGAGCGCCAGCCGGCCATGCGGCCCACCACCCCGCACACCATCACCCTGCAGCCCTCGTCCTTCCGGAACCTGCGCCTTCCCAAGCGGCTGCGCGTGATCTACTTCTTCGCGCGGACCCGGCTGGCCCAGAGGATCATCATGGTACGCCCGGTGCCGGGGGCGGCCTGGGCCCCGCCGTTGCCGTCTCCGGGCTTGGCGGGAGCCCACGCGGCACATTCCAGCTTGGGAAAGACCCTGGGGGCCGCTTTCCCTCCCTGGGTGGGGCCCCGGGAAAGCAGGCCGGGCCCACATGGGGCACAGCGAGCGGCCAGGCCTCCGGGTGGCCCAGCAGGGCCGAATCGTTCCGTGGCACTTGCGGTAGCACCCGAACCCGAGCCTTGGCAAGGACCCCAAGCAGCCGCCTGCTCAGAAGCCGGCAGAACAAGCTGCAGAAGTAAATTGGACTGGGTTGGCCGGCCGCTTCCGCGGGGAAAGACTCCGTCTGCAAACGGGAAGGCCGCCTTTTCCTGCTGAGCTCTTAGAAAGGGAGCCCGGAATGGGTGTGCGAGGACGGAAGGGATGTGAGAGAGGGGGGCGTCTGGGAAGTGAGCGTGTCCCCTGGCACAGCCCTTGTGGGGCAACCTAGAGCGGCCCCTGGTCGGACTGATGGGCCGCGAGTGCTCGGCCAGCGGGGCGTGGAAGTGAGGCCGCCCAAGGCTGCCCTGGCCGGGCTGCAGCCACGGGATCCCTGCGGAGACGAGCCGTGTGCCTCTCAGGCTTGGGAATGAGAATCGTGTGACCCCCGGGATTCGTTACTGCTTCGTTAGGTTTATATGTCAGCCAATAACCAGAAGTTCTCAGGGCGGCTCACTCAGTGAAACGTGTTAAAACCCAGAGTGAGGTGACCAATGGCATTAGAAAGTAAACTTGCAGCAATTGAAATCTGAAATGCCCGGAGGAAAAGGAGAATTTTTACCTGGCACCAGCACCGCAAAGGTGGGCGCCAGGTGGGTCGCCCTGGAGAGGGCACTGCAGCCAAGCAGGCCTCTTCCTCAGTCTCCGCTTGGCATCCCCTGGTGGGCTTCTGAGCAGCTGCAAATGGCAGCAGGTGGTCCTTGAGTGACTGGCTGATTTCCGTGCTGCCCGGTAGCCCAAGGGCTCTCCGGAGGGCTAAGCTTACGGGGATCAGGAGCTCCTGCACTGCAGCGGGGGAGGAGGTACGGCCTTCCGGGTCTTCCTGGGCTGCAGCTCCCGTCCTGCCACATCCTTCCTTCTGCTGGGTAGGGCTGGTGGGACCTGGAGTGCGGCAGCATCTGGAGGGCAACGTGGTCCCCGTCCCTGGCCGGCATGCGCTGTGCTCCTTTGGACTTTCCCTCGGAAGAAGGATCCAGAGAGGCTGCTCCGTGGAGCGGGGCAGGGGGCAGGCCGTTCTCCAGGACAGGGCCGGGGAGCAAGGGGCTCTCCGTGCTGCCATACGGACCCCCTTTCTCCTTGTCCTTCCCGCAGGCTGGGACGTTGGTCTGGATCGTCCTCTTGGTTTACACAGACCCCGCAGGCCTCCGCCCCTACCTGGTCTCGCAGGTCACGGAGCAAAGCCCTCTGGGCGAGGCGGGGCTGCCCGCCATGCCGGTGCCCGGGGAGGTCCTTCCCACGGGCGACGCCAAGCTGTCGCTCTCCGTCTTCCCGTCGGACCCCGAGGAGCAGCTGTCGGAGAACCACACGCTGGATGCTGCGGGCAGGCAGGACGCGAGCCACCGGGCAGAGGCCGCGGAGCCAGAGGGCAGGGGGGGCAGCGGGCAGGCGGAGCTGGGCCCCACGGCGGAGGTGACCTGGGGAGCAGAGGACGAGGAGATCTGGAGGAAGCTCTCCTTCCGCCACTGGCCGTCCCTCTTCAGCTACTACAACATCACGCTGGCCAAGAGGTTGGTCCTGGGGAGGCCGCCCGGGTCCCAGCGGAGCGCGGCTGGAGCTCTGCTTGCCTGCTGCTGGGCGTGTGAGGGAGGGAGCAGCGGTGCTCAGCCGCGCTGGAGCCGTTACTGAACAGCCCCGGAGCCGTGCCGGGAGTAGGCCCCTGCGATCAGTATCCCCCTTTCCGCTCGAATTCACTGAAGGCATTCCCGGATTCTTTGTTGAGCCATGAGTAGGACTTCCCAAGCTTCTAAAGCGGGGAACAGGTGGCTGCCTTAGGCTGAACCTGACCTGGCCCGGCTGGTCCAGCGCTGCGGACGGGGACGGCCAGGGGGCTTTCAGGCAGGAGCCTTCTTAGCCGCGCGTGGTGATCCGGCCAGGAGCAGAGCCATCCGGGGTGGGCCCCCTGCAGAACCACCCTCTGGGCCTGGCTTCCCTTTTTACCCCAAGGGCCCAGGGAGTCCGTCAGCAGGCAGAGCTGGCCCCTCTGGAGCCATGATCTGGCCTGCCCCGAGGCCGCCCGCCCTCTGCCCTGCGACTCTCCACCAGACCGGCCGCATCACCCGACCCACAGGAGAGAGTGCCAGGCCAGGAGAGCAGCTGCGTCCGGGAGACTGTGGAAAGCCTCTTGGGACCCTGCCACGATCCTGGCCCCTTTGGGCGCATCCCTCCCACGCTCCCCGGCCCCCCGTGCCCGTCACCGCTCCCCCCCCATGGCGGCACACGCTGCCGCCCTCCAGCGAGGTGTGCCCGCTGCGTGGGGTGGCCTGCCAGCCCGCTCTCCTCGTGCTCCTGCAGGTACATCAGCATCCTTCCGGTGATCCCGGTCACGCTGTACCTGAACCCGCAAGAGGCCCTGGAGGCGCGCCACCCGCACGAGGCGAATCGCTACCACACGTTCTTCTCCCGCAGCAGCGGGAAGGCGGAGCAGGCGGAGCAGGCGGCCGACGGCAGGCCCCCAGGGCACGCGCACCGCGACGTCACGCTCTACAAGTGAGAGCCCCGAGGGCACGGAGAGGCCGGGATGGAAGCCCGCCGGCCATGGGGTGCCGCGGGCCTGCTTGTCTCCGAGCTGTTCCTGGGGAGCTGCCCCCGGGTCCAGGACCAAGCCTGAGCCCTCTCCGCCGCCCCCTTACTCCTGGTTGCGTGGCACTGCCTGTCTGTGGAGCTCCTTCCTCCCTGATGGGTTGGGACGCCCCTCCTGAAGCTCAGTCTGCCTGGAGGAGCTCCCAGCTGCGAGGGGCTGGCGTGTCCCGCGCCTGCCCCTGCCGCCTCGCATTCAGCCCCGCCTGCCCCCGAGCGCTTCTCCAGAGGTAATTTTGGCCCTCGGGTGGCAAGAGCTCTGGCCCCCTCTGGCCCAGCAGTATTAAATACAGGGCCTACGTTCCATCTTGCTGTGACCCTCGAGGAGCTGCTGGCTGGGGGGCTTCGAGCCACATGGATGAGGCAGCACTGGGGCTGCACGCCCTTTCCAAACCAAATTGGTTCGTGAGGCGGTTCTCGGGGGCTGCGACTCCGTTTTGGCGGGGGGGCTGGCTTCTGACGCCTCCGTTTTCCACCCTCCGCTCCGCAGGGTTGCCGCTTTGGGCTTGGCCTCCGGGATCCTTTTGGTCCTGCTGCTCTTCTGCCTCTACCGAGTCTTGTGCCCCAGAAACTATGGGCAGAACGGGCCGTCCCACGGCAGGAGGCGGAGGGGGGACCTGCCCTGCGATGACTATGGCTACTCCCCGCCGGAGACGGAGATCATCCCGCTGGTCCTCCGGGGCCACCTGATGGTAGGAGCCTGGGGGAGAGCCTGGCTGGCACCGTTGGCAGAAGGGGACTCCCGCACCCCTCCTCCCGCGGAAGCCCCCTGGCCCAGCCAGTGGCCCCTGTGGGCCAGGAGACCCACGGAGCACGAGGCGCCACGCTGCAGCGGGAGGGGCAAGAGCAGGCTGGGCGTCAGGGCTTGCCCCGGGGTGGCCTCGGACCGGCCCCGCTGCCCCTCCCTCGCCGGGCCTCTGTGAGGGTAACGTTGGGAGGGGGGACACCCCGTGAGCCGTGTGGGTTCCCCCCAGAGGGAAGGAAGCGGGGCAGACACGCCGTGCGTTCATCGCGGCACAGCAGTTCCCACGGGACCCTGCCTGGGTGCCCAGCTCCTGGCTGCTGCCCTGTCTTTGGGGGAGGGGGGCAGGGGGCACAGGCACCGCTGCTCCAGGGCACGTGGGCTTTCTTCCTGGTCGAGCATTGGGGGCTGCTGCCGCCGACCTCCCGCCCTGAGAAGCGGCACAACGGGGGGCGTCGAGATCGCGAGGCCGGGCGCGCCTGCGGCTCACTGCGCCTGCTCTTTCCTGCAGGACATCGAGTGCCTGGCCAGCGACGGGATGCTGCTCGTCAGCTGCTGCCTGGTGGGCCAGATCCGGGTGTGGGACGCGCAGACGGGCGACTGCCTCACGGTCATTCCCAAGCAGGGGTGGGTCCGCCTCTGTCCTGCCTCCCTCCGCGCGGAAGCCCGGCTGCAGGGCCGCTGGCGCCCTCGGCTGCCTCAGCAGGCCCTGTGCATGCCGGCCCTGTGCATGCCGGCCCTGCCGGGAAGGGCCCGGCTCGGGCAGAGCCCCTCCGCGTGTGGGCGGCCCGGGCCAGTCCCCGACTCGGTTGTTCAGGGCTGGGGGGCCCCTGCCTGCAACCTGCGGGCTGCCGTTGCCGGTCTCGGCGGTGCCAGGCTAGGTGGGCTGCGGCCCGAGGGCTCCTGCCGTGCCAGCGGCGCTTCTCCGGGGAGCGTCGTGCATCGTGCGTGGCCCGAGCGCGCCGCCGTTCATGGGGGAGAGGGCAGGACTGCCGACCCGCGGCTTGTCTCCCCAGCTGAGACCGGGCAGTGGGCAGCGTGCCAGGTGGCCGGATGTCCCCCGGGGAGGTGCTGCCGCTCTCTCCCCAAAACCGCCCTGTGCGGTGAGCAGCTGCTGTCCCGTGCCCCTCGGCTATCTCGCCCCCACCCAGGGGCCCGTCGCCTGGCTTTGGGGTGGGGGTGGGGAGGCGGGCTTCTGCGGGGCACCCTCTGGCCACGCAGTGCCACCCTGGCCGGCCACGTGCCCCTCATCGGCGTGGCTGCTCTGTCTCAGGTTGGGCCGGGACGGCAGTGGCATCTTCAATGGCCCGGACTGCTGGGAGCACAGCCCGGACGGCAAAAGCGGGCCGGAGGACCACCTGGACGGCAGCCGGCTGCTCAAGGGGGCTCGCAGTGCCCAGCAGGCCCCGCTCTTCTGCGACCAGCCGGATCTCAGCTCCCTCATCGACACCAACTTCTCCGAGCAGGCGAAGACGGGGGCCTCCGAGCCCCGGCACCGCACCGTCGGGGGCCGGCAGAAGGAGTCGGGCTACGACTTCTGCAGCCTGGTGGAGAAGGTCTATGAGGAGCAGGGCGGCGTGGGGAACTGCGTGCCCCTCTCGGGCTTCTCCGCCCCCCGCAGGCAGGCCGCCTTCGGCCCCCGGGCGTGTGGGGCCAGGTCCCCCGGCTGCCCGGGCGGGGAGAGAGACTGCGAGGCCCGCAGGAGCAGCCTCGGGGAGGAGCCCTGCGTGGGCCTGGAGAGGCCGCCCCCGCCCTCCTGGGGCCCGGACTTGGAGAGCTCCATCTGGAGCCTGGAGCTGCAGGGCAACCTCATCGCGGCCGGCCGGAGCAACGGGCGGCTGGAGGTAAGCCGGGGGCGGAGGGGGTGGGCACTTGGCGGGCCGGTTTGCTCGTTCGTCGCGTTTGGATGCCACCCCACAGCCTGAGATCCCTCTGGCCAGCCTGCGAGAACACAGTCAGTCAGTCAGTCAGTCAAAGCAGCAGCAATTCATGCAACTCAGGAAAACCAGTGAAAGAGAGCAAAAGCACGGTGAGCTGCGAAAGTAAAGGTGCAAAATGGCCGTACAGAGAGAGAAGTCCGGTCAAGAAGGCAAGCAGCAAAATACCAAGACAAGTGTTAAGAGGCCAAGGTAGCTACTAAACGCCTGTTTGAACGGAAAGGTCTTTACCTGCTGCCTGCAAGAGCCGTGCTGCGCGTCCGGGGGAGCGGGTCCCGTCGGGGGGGGGGCGCCGCCTCGACGCTCGGCCACCTTGCCAGGGAGGGGCTGCTGGTCTGTGGTCTAGTCCACCAGGCTCAGGTTAGGCTTTTTCAGGGACGGCGTAATCTCAGCTGCCTCAAGGGGGCTGGCCCCACTCCCTCTGCCGAGGAGGCGTTCGCAGCCTCCTGGGCCCAGGTGCGAGTCCCTTCCTAGATCTTCCAGTAAGCCAAGAGGAGGGCCACTCGAGACCTGCACTCGAGCGCACGGGAGGCCCAGAGGGGACCATGGGGTCCCTTAAGCCGCGGCCACTGAGCACCCAGGCTGGCACAGCTGGGCGAGGGAGCCCCCGCCTCTCCCGCCCACGCCTTGGTGATTTGCACCAGGTTGGCCCCATCGGCCACACTCAAACCATGGGGAGGGTGGGATTACTGTGTGCTGACCCGGCGTTCGGCAGCAGCACCATGAGGCACCGTCTGGCTGGGGGCAGACCAGGAGGACCTTCCCCCTTGTTGGCCTCTTGGTTCCCCAGCATCCGGTCTCCCCCTGCCCGTCACCCCAGTGGAGAGGACACCCCCTGCCCCCGCGGTGCCCGGGCGAGTGCGCTTCACAGGGCACTGAGGGCAGCAGTACCGGGCAGCAGGTCGGTTCTGCCCGGAGGCGAGGAGGGGGCAGCAGCCCTGTCTCTGAGTGGCACCAGTGGGCCGCCAGAGGGTTGCAGGTCTCCCAGGAGAGGAGGGAGAGAGAAGAGGACACCTCCCACAAAGCCTTCCGGGCCTCTTGTAGCTGTGAATGCTTCCGGAGAGGCCTGGGGCATGGGAAGGGACGGTCCTTCAGGGCCTCCGTGACAGAGGCCCGGAGAGGCTTCCCTGGAGCGCTCTTTGCCCAGCCCACACGCCACAGGGGCCCCCTCTGGAAGAGGCCACCTCGCCACCCAGGAAAACATGGCCCCGTTTCCCTGGCACGAGTCACGGGGCACAAGGTTCCCCCCTGACCTGGGGACGGGTGGGGCGGACATCCGCAGAAGCGTGCCTGGCCGTGGAAGCGGAGGGCAGCCCGGGGTCTGAAGGGCTCCTGGCCTTGCCCGCCCGGGCTGCTGTGGCGGGAGCGGGCCAGGCCTCCGGTGGGTCGCAGGCCGGCGGGGGATGCAGCTGCCGCGTCCCGGGAGCCCAGGGCGGTGACGGAGAGCGGTCCCTGGCCCGGAAGGTGGCCTGCGAGGCGGCTGCCACCACTCGGTGCTCCTGTGTTGCAGGTGTGGGACGCCATCGAGGGGGCTCTGCGCTGCAGCAGCGAAGACGGCCAGTCGGGCATCACCTCCCTGGTCTTCCTGAACAGCAGGTCCTGCTCCGGGCTTCTCCACCCCTCCCTCCCAAGCGCCTCCCCAGCCCACTCCCCTCCAGACAGGTTGGACTACACAGCCCATTGTCCACCCGCCCACCCACCCGTCCCAGTGACCCGGCTGCTTTTCCTAAGCACAAGGCGTTGCTGCACCAGGGCCTCTTGCTGCCTGCTTGGGGGGGGGGCGGTGCTTTGCAGGTTTCCCGTGCGCCATGCCAGCAGCGCTCTGGGTCGCCCGTCCTCAAGCAGAGCCTCCCGGGCCCCTCTGGCTCCCATGAGGCCCCCGACCAGCCCGGCAAGCAGCCCCCCGCTGCAGGCCGGCCGGCTGGCCGGCGGGGGCGTTTCCCCCTCAGGCGCCCCTCCGGCAGCCCAGCCAGGAGCGATCGTGGGGCGAGGGCTGCACCCCAAACCAACACCACTTGCCTCGGTCTCTCCTGGAACAGGATCGTGGCCGCCAGGCTCAACGGCACCCTGGATTTCTATTCCCTGGGGACGTGCGCCGCCGCCGACCACTCCCAGTTCCGAGGTGAGAGTGCTGCCCACCTGCCCCCGGAAGGCCGTGCAGGAGGCGGCGGCTCTCCCGGCCACTAGCCGTGCCGGCCATCCGGTCCCTCCGCTTGCAGAGGCGGCACGCTGGCAGCCCCAGCTGCGGAGGAGCTTGGGCAGGCCGAGGGCTTGCCCCCTTCCGGCCCCCCACTGTGGAAGGGGGCGCTGCTGGGTGGCCCCTGCCTGGTCCCGCAGGGCTTTCCTCAGGTCCCCGCGCCCTTGGCCACCCACTGCCCATCTCGGGCTCGGACGCTTTTCCCTCGGAGGCGCCGGAAGGAGCCTCTGCGAGCCGGAGGCGCTTCGCGTGCCCAGGCCCCGGCTGCGACTGAGCGCCCGCAGGGCTCCTCGCCGCCGCCTTCCCCACTCCTTTCCCCGCAGGATCCCAGGTGAGCGAGGTGCCCGGGCTTGGCCCGCAAAGACGCACCTTGCCGCCTGCCCTGCCTCGTTCCTGGGGTGGCGCCCGCTGCCGTGGGACTGCAGCTCTGGCTGGGGGTCCCTGCAGCTGGAGCGCACCCAAACCCCCCCCCCCCCCGCCGCCACGCAGGGACGCCGGGCCCGAGCAGCCTCCCCTCTTCTCCCGTGTGGAGCACGAGCGACGCCCTCGCCTGCCGGCTGACCCACACGGTGACGTGCGCCCACCAGAAGCCCATCACGGCCCTGAAGGCTGCAGCGGGGCGGCTGGTCACGGGCAGCCAGGATCGCACCCTCCGCGTGAGTGCCGGGGGCCCTTCCTCACGAGACGGGGCGGTGCGGGGCCCCGCTTCATCGCCCCTTTCCGACCCCTCCCCTGCTGGGCCGGCAGGGCACGTGCCCCGAGGAGCCGGCTTCGGGCGGGCAGGCGAGGTGCTGCCCACGGCACTGGCGTGGCAGCACGGCGGCCCCTCGCCTGCCTCCGCCGGGTTGCGCTGGCTGGCGGCCCGGCTCTGCCTTCCCTCCGGCCGGGGGGCAGGGGTGGCCTCTGGGGGGAGGCCAAGGGGAGCTCCTGCTTCCAAGGGAGGCCCGGGCTGGGGGGCAGGCCCGGAGTGAGGCCAGCTCCCTGTCCTGTTTCATCCTGGCGGATGGGGGGCAGAGAAGCCAGGAGGCCGAGGAAGAGGGGCGGGCGGCTTTCCTAGCCTGGGGCCAGTTCCCCGGCCAAGTCCCCTGCACCCCACGGCAGGCATGGCTGGGGCGGGGACGGGCGTGCGGCCTCCGTGCCCCTGGGTGCCCGAGTCCCCTCAGAGGGGGCTGTGTTCCCGGGCCGTCGGCTGCGGGGAGGTGGGCCGCCTCCCCGCCCGCCATGACGCTCCGCCGCCTCCCCCAGGTGTACCGGCTGGAAGACTCCTGCTGCCTCTTCACGCTGCAGGGCCACTCGGGGGCCATCACAGCCGTCTACATGGACCAAGTAGGTGGCGCGCCGGGCGCTGCGCTGGGCCCCGTGGCAGCAGTGGGCGGGTGGCAAGGAGGACGAGGACGCGGCCCGGAACGAGGCGGAGCAGCCCGGCTCTTTCCCTTCCTTCCGGACCGTCGTCCAGAGCCACGAGGACCAGGCCTGCTGGGAAGGACCGTGTGCTTCTGGTGGCCCGGCGGCTATCGGATCAGTGTGGGTTGGGCTCGCCCCGTGTCGCCGGGCTCGGCCTTGTGGGAACCTCGGCGTGACCTTGCCCGTCCTGCGGCAAAACAGCCCCTGCTGTTTCTGTGCCATCCTGAGGATGCCAGTGGCGCTGGGTCGCCTTCCTGTCGCACGGGCTCAGTGGCGGGTTGGAGACAAAGCTGTCTTAAAGCTGCTTCCTCCCCCCACTGACGGAGGGGGGCATTGCTGGGAGGGGGCAGCCTGCTCCTTCCAGACAGCTCCTGGCCCAAACCGTGGCCGTCTCCTCGCCGGCCGAGGAGCGTGCCCGAGGCGCTCCGGCCTCCGGTGGGTGGCAGCTGGCCCACCTGTGTCCCGGGAGGGGGCATTCGCAACTGGGGCTTCCCCGGATGGAAGCCAAAGTCGCCCTCCAAGTACCTGCCTGTCCAGCCACTTGCAGTGCGGCGGTCTGGCAGGGGCGCTTGCTGTGGGTGCCCGGGGAGGGCCCCCAGCCCCAGGTGCCCCGAGGCGTCACGGGAGGGCTGCCCCGTGGCACGGAGCGCTCCCTCTCCCACGCGTGGACGGCGCCGCCTCTGTTGCCCTGCCGTGGCACACCGTGACGTGCCCCGAGCCACGGCCCCCAGGGACATGGGTCCAGCTGCGGGGGGCGCAGCCGATAAGCACGTGTGGACGGCCCCTTCTGGGGGAGCCCCCTCCCAGCCCCCGGCAGGCCTCTCCCCGAATCCAGCCCCCATCGGCCCCCCTTCCTGCGTTTGGCCCCTTGCTCTGCTCCACCGGCCCCGGGCCGCCCCCGAGGTGACCCGAGCTCGGTGCCCTCGCCTTTCAGACCCTGGTGCTCGCCAGCGGGGGCCAGGACGGCGCCATCTGCCTCTGGGACGTGCTCACGGGGAGCAGGGTGAGCCACCTGTATGCCCACCGGGGGGACGTCACGTCCCTCACCTGCACCTCCTCCTGCGTGATCAGCAGCGGCCTGGACGACGTCATCAGCATCTGGGACCGCAGCTCCGGCGTCAAGCATTACTCCATCCAGCAGGTGCGTGGCTGGGGCCGGGGCGGCCCCCCTTCACGTCCCCTGCCGGGAAGGGCGGGAGGCCGAGGGGCTGCGTGGCGCTCGTCCTGCGCTTGCCCCTTGGCAGCGGCACGTGTTCCGGGACCCTCCTTGAGGCCGGCCAGAGCTGACGGCTCCGCTCTCGCACAGGCTCCGCTCGACCCCCTGTGTGTTTCTGCGGCCGATTCCCAAGGCCTCCTCACAGGCCCCCAGGCCCCCGGAGCGACCGCCCCCCCCGACCCCGCGAGCCACGGCTGAGCCGACGGGGCACGGGCCGCTCGTGTCAGGCCGGCCCGGTCTTGCTGGCTGGGGTGTCCAGGCAGTTACTCCGGCACGTCTGGGGCTCCAGGTTGGAGGTGCCGTCGGCAGCCTACGGTTGCTGCCCTTTCTGGTGGCGTCCCGTGTTTGTTTTTTGTGTTTTTAGCAAAAGCTGGACAGGCCGAGGGGCCGGGCATCTTTAGAGGTGCTTCCGGCTTCTGACATGCCTTGTTCTGGGACGGAAGTGGGCCGTCACTCTTGCCAAAGTCTTGGCCGTTCTCTGCCCGAGCATCTGTGCCCGCGAGGAAACGTCCACCCTAAATCTTGGCTCCCCGAGCTTTTGAGTTGGATGCCTGGCAGAGAAGTGCACTCCAGAGATTTTATGTGGGGGCGGGCAGCCCTTTGGGGGGGGGGCCGCTGGGCTGCCCGCTGCTGGGAGCCCTCAGCAGAGAGGTTGCCTGGGTGCCGGGGGGGGGGCGCTCTGCCCCTGCCCCCCGTCACACGCTCGCCTCCCGCCTGTGCAGGACATGGGGTGCGGAGCCAGCCTGGGGGTGATCTCCGACAGCCTGCTGGTGACGGGGGGCCAGGGCTGCGTCTCCTTCTGGGACATCGGCTACGGCGACCTGCTGCAGACCGTCTACCTGGGCAAGAACAACGAGGCGCAGCCCGCCCGGCAGATCCTGGTGCTGGAGAACGCCGCCATCGTCTGCAACTTCGGCAGCGAGCTCAGCCTGGTGTACGTGCCGTCGGTGCTGGAGAAGCGGGACTGAGGGGCGCGGGGGGAGCCCGCCGAGCAGGCCGAGGCCCCTCGGAGGAGCCGCGCGGGGGGCCGCCTGGGGCCTCCCCCGCCTCGGCCGCGCCGGGCCGGGCACGGCACTGCGGGGGCCGAGCCAGGAATGCTTTGAGCTCCCGGGAAGCGGGGGGAACCGTGCGGGGGGGAGCGGGCACTGTCCTCTGCAGGGGCAGGGTGGCCGTTCAAGCACCCTGCCAGCGAGAGGAGCAAGGCCCCCCCCCCGCCACTGCCTCTTCCATCTGAGGGGCCAGAGGGGGGGGGGGGGGGGGGCGGGCCCCCCAGCCCGGCCGCGGCAGCCCCCTGCCCCCCCCCCCCCCCGGAAGAGCTGCTTCAGACAAGCCCCTTCTGGGGGGACCAGCCCACTTCAGCTGCCACTGTGAAACTGTGGCACTCTGTGTGTGTGTGTGGGGGGGGGGTGTCAGCACTGTTCTCCACTGCCCCATGGCCACCTCTGCCGGGTCAAGCACCCATTTCCAGGGGGGCCTCCCTGGATCTTGGGGTGGCCGACCGGGTGAATTCCAGCCTTGGAAGGGCAGGGGGCAGTGCGGTGGGGGGCTCCCCTTCGCGAGGGGTGAGGGCGACCTGGGGGAGTGAGCGAGCGAGCAGTCACTCTCAGTCCCCCAGACCTTTCTGCCACCCCCCCCCCCGAAATGAGTGGCACAGTGCCACCGGCCAGATTTATTTATGTGCTGTACATAGTTATTTATTCTGGCATGCGGGAGGCGGCTGCCCCCCAGCAGCTCAGACAGACCCCTCCCAGCTGGGGGGGGGGGCGGTTGGGACCTGCGGCACGTGCTGGCTGCCGGCCAGTGAAGCTGGGGGGCTCGGCCCGGGATCTCCTTGCGCCTGCATGGCCGCTCGCGACACCCGCTTGCATCGCGCGCCTGGCTCGGAGCGGTGGCCGTCCCTGGCCGTGCAGCAGGGCGGCCTCCCCCGTGTGGCCCCCCCCCCCCCGGCCGGGCTGACAGGCCGCGGAGAAGAGCCTTTGCCGCCCGGGCCCCGCGGTGGGCCGGCTGGTGATGCTGGACTCGGGGGGCTGCCCCCCGGGGTGGATTCAGCCGGCAGGAATGACGAGAGGAGCAGAGGAGGAAGGGCGCCTGGCCGAGCGAGGCTCTTCCACGGTCAGCCTCCTCGCCGGAGCAGTCGGCCTGCGCCAGGTGGGGGGAGCCACGACCCGCAGAGCCTCCCCCGCCCGCCCCACTGCGGCTTCCCCCGGGCTGCGCATCTCCATCCTGCCGCTGGTGGCCTTCGCTCTGCTGTACCCTTTGGACTGGACAGTGGGAGCCGCTTTTGTACCGGATTGTTTTATAATGTGTACAGGGACAGATGCATTAAACAGAACTAACTTAATGCCTTCTGTGTGTCTGGTGAGGTGTGGGGGGGGGGGCGGAATGGGACCAGCCTTCTCCAAGCTGGCGCCCACAGGTGTGTGGGGCTGCAGCCCCCATCAGCAGTGGCCCGAGCAGGGGTGAGGAAGGGTCCTGCCGCCTTGAGGGGCAAGGCAGGGAAGCCCAGGCGCTGCAGAGGGGCCTGGGGCCGTCCGGGGCACCTGCCGTGGGCGTCACGTCGGCCGCCTCTTCAGCTGCGCAAGCAGCAGACTGGAGAGCATCCCGGCCAAGGCAAGCGAACACGGCACCGCTCCCCGGCCCTCTCCGCAGACTCACATTTGTGGCTTTCTTTACAATTCAAGGTGTTTCTTCTCCCCTTGTCTGAGGCACAGCATCTTTGGGCGGGGGGGATTCTGCTTTATTTTATTTTGATCAATGCTGTACGCCGTCCAGAGACGCAAGTAATGGATGGCAAACAAATTTAATAAATATCCTAGCTCCTCAGAGCTTCCTGTCGGCATGCCCTCCCCTCCCCTTCCCTCCCACCTCACAGCAAAGTGGGGCTACTCCATCTGCACTGGCCACAACGCTCATCGGCCGTCGGGGGCCAGAATGCCGCTGCCCCCCCCCCCCGGCCGCACCCCCCAAGCTCTCCTAAGATGCTCTGGACGCTTGCCAAAGAAGCCAGTTCATATTGTTTTTTTCATAATTTATTCTGCATATAAGTCGTGTTAATGACCTCCTTGCAGTTTTTCCTGCTCTTGCACAAGCACGTCCTCCGGCAGTGGGCCCGCGTGTTGCAGGCACTGTAAAAATGAGCCCTGGGGAAGCCACATCCTCAAATCAAACTGCCCACCACTTCCCCGTTTCCTGCAGCTGTCTATCAAAAGTGAAACACCGAATTTAAGGACCTGATGCTTTAGCGTGCATACGCAAGGCGCACGAGGACTGAGTGTGCAAGAAGCGTCATCAAAACTTGCAAGGCAGCGCAAGGCCAGGCAACCCGGGTCACCCCCACGAGGCTGCGGCTGGCAGTCGCCCTCCAACAAAACTCTAACACTGGCGCCATCTCCAATGCCCCGTTTATTTTAATAGCAAAGAGCTGAAAAAAGTCTAGATTACAGAGTAAGTCAAAACAAGAAGACCGTATTATATGTATACAAGAACACCAGCCCCTTGAAGGAATCCAGAAGTTCGCCCAGGACCGCCTGCCGTGCCAAAAAGCCCTTTCCCGCCTCAGCCCTTCCTCTTCCCTGCCCTTTGCAGGCAGCTGTTGAATTTAGGCAGCCACCTGAATGGGGAGCAGGGTCAAAACTAACGCATCAAATTGCTCCCGTTACCTGATTTTGCTCTTGTGCCCCTAAGATGCCGCCCCATGTCTCTCCCTCCCTCGCCAGCTCGATGCGAGACGGATGTGGTCAACCCCCAGGCGCCTGGTCAACTCGGTGGCTCCGGACCCTGCCCCCTTCGAGCCCCCAGCCCTTTTCACAAGGGACAATTCCGCTTTGTAGAGGCTGCTGGATGTGCGTAAGCGCCAGGGGGGCCCCCGAAGAGGCCCGAAGGAAGCGGCCCCTTCTTTTCCACGTTGAATATGAGCTCTCGCCCATAGCTGCAGCCCCTCCGCCAGCCTCCGAACAGGGCGGGTGGGGGGGGGCAGCGGAGCTGGCCAGCCCCACGAAGCCTTGGCAATGGCCGCAGGGCTGCTGCTCAGCCTCCGACCAGCAGCGGGGCTGACGCATGAGGCCGCGGGGCCCCCACGCCTCGGGCCTCGCAGCAGAGCAGGGCTTGGGCCGGGTCCCACCTCAGGGGCTGGGGGCGCTCACGCTCACGCTCAGCGGCGAAGGCAAGGCAGCAACAGAAGGGAGAGAACAGTAGCGGGGGAGGGCAGCCTGTACCCCCGCATGCGGGGGCAGCAGGTGGGGCGCACAAGCTGCATCCCACCCTGGCCAGGGGGGAGGCCCAAGCCGTATTCCAAAGCCTTTATGGATGGCCGAGGTCTGTCCCTGGGAGCACCGGGAGAACCGCCCCGAATGCCCAGACCCCTTCCCCCTCCCCCCGTCCCCTCCATCATGGCTGCCCCCAGAAAGGGAACAGGAGGGGAGAGCCTCGTGATGCAGATGCACCAAGGCCCCGTGCGTGCACCGCAGCCACCTGGGCCTGCTCCCAGGTGAAGGATGCAGGAAGCAGCTGGTGGGGGGGTCGGGAAAGGGGCCGCTTGGAGCCCCTTCAGTGGCCCAGCAGGCGCCCAGGGTGCAGGAAGTGCCAGCTGGGAAGGCAGTGCCCAGGCGGCCCAGGCCCGGGGCAGCGCCATCCCCTCGGTCAGGCCTGGGCTGCCCCGGCAGAGCGGCCCCCGCCGCGCTCACGTCTTGTTGAGGGTCCAGAGTGGGTCCAGCATGTCGAGGGGGTCATCGCTGGGCCGGGCCCCCCGCAGACCCTCCCCGTTCTGGGGCTGCAGGAAGCTCTGCTTGCTCATCCTGTGCCTGCCCGTGAGGGAGCCGTCTAGGGTGAAGGCCTCGGGCGTCAAGGAGGCCAGGAGATCCAGAGAGGACGAGGAGGGGGCCGCCGGGGCCTCGGCCTCGGGGGGCGGCTGCAGACCGCCGCTGCCCTCCCCTGTCTCCGCGTGGCTGCTGTTCTCCCCCGCGGAAGGCCCCTCGGCCTCGGGCGCTGGCGGCGGGAGGGGCAGGGCGGCTGCCGCCCCCTCCAGAGGGCCGGGATCGGCCGGGGCGGGCTGCGGGAGCAGGGCGGCCGGGGGCGCCGGAAGAGCGTCGCCCCCGGCGGCGATCGGTGGCGAGGGCTCCGGCAGCTGTCCGTTCGCGGCGCTCTCCGCGCCCCCCGCCGGGGGCCTGATGCTGAGCTTCGCGATGGTGGCCTGGATGGAGCTGATGGGCATGTCCCCGCCCAGCACCAGGTCCTGCGGGTCCTGGGGGACGTAGGGCTGGGAGGAGGCAAAGCGAGCCCGGCTCAGCCGGCGCCACGGCAGCAGGGACGCACCCAAGGCCCCCGGGGGACGGGGGCCCGGTGCTGAGTCCGCGGCACCCCTGGCGCCACTGCCCCGGCCAGCTCCCGCTCCCCCGGCACCGCTCGGAGGGAAAAGGAGCCGGCGCACGCCTCCCCGGGACGTCTGCCCCGGCGTGTGGGGGGGGGGGGGGGGGGGGCCGCGGAGATGGCACCCAGCGGCGGGAGGGGGCGCGAGGCACTCACCTTCTGGGCGGCAGGGGCGGCCCCGCTGCTGGGCTTGACAGCGGACGGCGCCGTGACCCCGTGCCTCTGCAGCACCTGGGTGGCGTGCCGAAGGACGGACTCGTAGCAGAACTTGAGGTGCAGCTGGGGGAGAGGCAGCCGTGAGGGCGGGCCTTCCGCTCGGCCCCCCACCGGCTCCCGCCCCACGCTCGCCAGAGCCCTCCCGAGCCGCCCCCGGGCCCCCACGCACCTTCTCCTGCAGCATGTGCTTGCGCTGCTGGCGCATCCTGCGCACGAGCTGGGCCAGGTCCGGGATGCTGTTGCCGGCCTCCACCTCCTGCATGGCCGCGTACAGGAGGCAGAAGGCGCCGGTGCGCCCCACGCCGGAGCTGCGGGCGGAGGGGAGAGGCGCGGGCTGAGCGGCCTGCCCGGGCGTGCTCCCCGCGAGGCCCTCTGCCCGCCCCCGGGGGGATGGGCCGGCCTCCCGGGCCCCTGGGGAAGGGGGGAGGCGCGGGTGGGGGGGGGCGGCCCCGGAACCGACCCTCCCCTGAGCACCGCTGCCCCCGCCGGGTCACCTGCAGTGGACGACGATGGGGGTGTGCAGCGGCCGCTGGTGCAGGTAGTGGCTGTGGACGTCCCGGATGAAGTGCAGCAGGTCGTCCTGGCGGTCCGGGAGGCCCCTGCGGGGAGGGCGGGGGGGTCAGGGCGGCGGCGGCACGGCAGAGCCGCGGGGGCCTCCGTGCCTCGCCCCCCCCCCCCCGGCTGCAGCGGGACGGGGCACTCACAGCTCCGGCCAGCAGGAGAACTGCAGGTGCACGACGGTGCGCTTCAGGCTCTGGTCGCGGAACTGCAGGGTGACCATGCGCTCCACGTGGGTCGGGGTGGCCTTGTGGCTGGTCAGGACGAGGGAGATGGGGCCGTGCAGCATGGGCTGGCCACGCTCCGTGGGGAAGTAGCACACCACCTTTTGCTGCAGAACAGAGGCGGGGAGGGAGCTCGCAAGGGGCCGGGCCGGGCTGGGCGGCTGCCGCTGTGGCTTGGGGCCTCCCGAAGGCGAGGGGGCGGCTGCGCCGCGAGGGCCGGACAGACGGACGGTGGCAGGCCCAGCAAGGCCCCCCCGGGCTCCGAAGCCACGGAGGAGACAGCTGCACCCACCCCGGGAGTGGACCCTGGGGGAGGGGGCTCAGCCGGCCCCGGGGGGAGCCGGCAGCACTGCCAAAGCTGCACTCCCACCTCCCCTCGGAACCCCCTCGGCCCGGCAGGAAGCGTGTGAGTGGGGCCGGGTGGGGGGGAGCGCAGGAGGCAGCTCCCAGTACGGTGCCATCCCAGGAGGGCACCCTCTGCGTGCCTTGGCCGACACGGGCACCTGCCCAAGGAGGGGGTGCGTGGTGTAAGCAGGGTGGCCGGGAGCGCGGCGTGTGGGGAGGCCTCGCTGGGCTGGGAAGCAACCAGGGCTTCCGTGGGACAGCCTGGAGGCCCCGATTAGCCCCGGGGGTTGCGGGGGGAGAGCTTTGCACCCTCAGTGAGTTCGATCGATCGGGCAGCCAGGCATGGGGGAGACCCCTCAACGCACACACCCCGGAAAGCCACTGCCAGCCACAGGAAGAGCGGCAGGCCGGGGGACCACCGCCGGGGCCTGCCGCCACCCCCATCGCCCCACAGAGCCTCCTTGGCGGGGGGGGGAGCCCGGCCCTCCACATCTCTGGGCCTACAAGCCGCCCACGCCTGCACGCTTCGAAGCTCGGCAGCCACCCGGCCCCCTCACGGTGACGAGGGGCGAGATGCGCTCGGCTTGGGAGCCCCGGGAGCTGGCCGGGGCTCACGCTGCCCCCGATGGGGCCCTGAGGAAGAGCCGCCCCCCAGCCTTCTGGCAGGGGGCGGCGGCAGCGGGGGGACGCCCTCTGCAGTCGGTGCCCCCGCGCCACCCACCTTCTCGACCTCCAGCTCGGACACGAGCATGACCACCACCGACACCTTCTGCTCGTGGATCATGAGCCAGAAGTCGGCGGCCGTGCCCGGCAGGGGCGCCTGGGTGGCGATGACGGTGGGGCAGTAGGAGGAGAGCTCCTCGATGCGGCTGGCGTTGATGTAGTCGTCGCGGCCCGACTGCAGCACCACGCGGTTCCGGTCGTAGGGCATGACGTCCTGGTGGCGGTTCTTGCGCGAGTAGCAGCGGGCGACGGCGATGGAGCGCTGCCGCGCGTCCTTCTCCTGGGCCTCCTGCAGCGCCTTCCACACGCCGCCCAGCGCGCTGCCGGGCCCCGGCTCGCCCAGGCAGGCCACCAGCTCCCGGAAGCGGCCCAGCTCCGAGAGGAGCCGCCGCAGGCGCTCGGGCTGCTGGTACGGGTCGCGCTCGATCAGCTGCACGGGCCGCGGCCTCAGGCCCTCCTTGGCGTCCGCCTTGGTGGGCTGCAGGAGGGGCTGCCCCACGGGGGCCTTGGGCCCCCCGTGCTGGCTCTCGGGGCTGGAGGACAGCAGGTCGTCCGTGGAGGCGCTCTGCCGGGGGAAGGGCGCCTCAGGGGCCGCCTGCCCGAGCGGCGCGGCCCCCGGGGCCAGGGAGGACGGGGGCAGCTGGGGGAGGGGGCCGGGGCAGGGCCCGGAGGGAGGCCGCAGCGGGGGCTGCGGCAAGGGGGCCGGGGAGGGCAGGGCCTGCCCCGGCACCACCGCCCCGCCCGGCATCTGGGCCAGGGCCGGGCTGGGGGCGGGGGGGACCTGGTGCGGGGCCTGCTGGCTCACCGGGGGCGGCGGGGCGCCGGCGAGCCCCATGGGGGCCCCCGGAGGCAGCTGGCTGGAGGCCGGGGGAGCCGGGCTGAAGGACCCTGGGGCGGGCGAGCCGGGCGGCAGGGGGGCGACGGCCGCGAGGGGCGGGCAGGGCGGCAGGGGCTGCGGCGGCCCCAGCAGGCCCACGCCGT